GAGCAGGGGCGGGGGGGTTGACAGCGCTGTCACGGGGGGTGGTAGTTTTTTCGACCAACCAACAAGAAAAAATTGTTGGGCCTGTTAACAAAGCTATAAAAATGTCACCTCGCACAACGAGCGAGTCGCGTGGCCAACAATTTAATACAAAAGCAGAAGAAGAAGAGGAAGAAACTGTAATAATTTACTAGCATCATATATAGAGGAATGCATTGGCTGGCTGAGCGGAATATGAAACTATATATGGCTACAATATGACCAGCAGATATATGAGTAGAGCTACAATTACATATTGATTGAGCCCATCAAAGTTTCGTTTAAATAAAGAATGATTTGGGGTTTTCCAATAAGTCGAAGAGGTTTATGGAGTATATTTGAAATTGTTTGCTATACCACTTATAGATTCTACATATTCACATATCTTACACTGAATCTATTTATTATTCTTTAAATATGTTACATTATATCTCATTTTTAGCATAACATTCGCAGATCCAATTTCTTATCTCATTCAATGACATATTTATCTCTATCGCTATCGCATATATTATATATATCCCATCTGCATTCATATTTCCCATCTGCATTCATATTTCCCATATACATTCCATATTCCCTATCTGCCCATCCACACATTCATCTCTATTCCACATTAATTTCATATTCCAAATTTCATCTCTATCAACTCGAAATATTTGTTATATTTCCCTCACATTCCTCTATGCACATTCCAGGTGATTCGCTGTGGCATTCGAAAGTCCTGAGGCCTCTCAGCAATTATGCACACACAATTTAGCGCAACCTTTCGTAATTGCAACACTCCAAGGAATCGCCTTTCACAGGACCTCAACCTCGCCTCGCCTCTCCTCGGAAGGCGCTCACTAATCGTCCAGGACTTCATTGTCTGCGCTTTACCTTGGGCATAATTTGCCTGTTGACATACCTGGCTGTCCCACCTGAGGCGCGTCAACAGCTACTGTCACAGGCACACGGGCAGTGGGACGTGTGTGCAGGGTTGCCACCGAGCTATTAAATTACATGCCCAGCAAATTGCTTGGGAAAACAAAACGACAGGCAAAAACGCCTCGGCATATGCAACAATAATAATAACGGGTTTGCGGTCGTTGTTATGCCTCGACTTCTGGTTCTGCTCTGGCTCCGGCTCCGGCTCCGGCTCCGGCTCTTGCTATGGCTCTGGCTCTGCATATTATTAGCGCTTTCCCCCACCGGTGGCCGGTGGCATAAATATTGAAAAGCGCCAACGCCTTTTGTTGGCTAGGTAATTGCCCAACTCTGCGCAATAGCCTGGCTAATAAACATAAATATTGTGGCAGGAGTTAAAGTGGAAAAGGAAGCACCGGCTATGGAATTAAAAAGTACAACTTTCTTTTGCCAGCTGCAATTTATGAGAATGTAATAGAAGGGCGCACAGTGCAAGACAATGGCAAAGTAAGAGAAATGGAAATCTAGTTTAAACTTTCAACTGGATTACATAAATAAAGCGGAAATAATGTGAGAATGCGGAATCGATAGAGAGAATAGACAATAGCGAAAAGACAAGAGAAAGCAAAGAGACTATGGAAAGTTTACTAAAGTGAAAAAGATACATATATGAGTATTACACTACTTAAATACATCCATATTTTATAAGAATATATTGCAATAGCTCAGATTCTGTTTACAGTTGCTATAATTTCAGTTGTTTAACCAAAACTCTCATGAATTCTATTGAAACTTAAATGGACTCGACTTCTTATCAGCCGAACAATAAATTCTCTTCTTTTCTTTTTTTTCGCCTCTTTTTTTTTTTTTTTGGTAAGCTTTTGCCTTTAAGTATGCCTGGCTTGCATTGTCCTTATGACACAAGCTTAACAATTGCATGCGAGTCAACAAAGAAAAGTTGCTCGTAAACGAAAATAAAACTTTAAAAGCAGTTCGCAAAGCAAAAACTTCGCTTCCTCCCATCTCTAGCTATCAGTCCGATGCCGTCTGTCTCGCTCGCACTCGTGTGTGATGTGAGGAGGAGCTGTGTGAGTCATGCGAATGCAATGGGCAAAGAGAAAACTGTGTCAACGACTCTGCTCCACTTAAGCATTTAACGAGCAACTTAGCGCGCACGTAATAGCAGCAACAACACCAACAACAACAACAACAACAACAAGTAGTAGTAGCAGAAGCAGATACGACAATGACAGCTGAATAAAAAGGATGCGAAAAATGTGAAAAAATTCAAAACAAGTGGCACAAAAATATTGAACAACAATACAAGTACAAGCGAAACGGAAAGAGAACCAGCGGGCAACAGGAATAGCGGATAACAGCAACAACAACAACAGCAGCAGCAGCAGCAGCACGAACAAGAAGAACAAGAATGAAGGACAACAACATAACCCAATAAGCAAACCAAGTGGAGAGAACGCATGTGTCATCATTAGAATAAGCAAACGCAATGGAACATTGAACATCCCCATGGCAGGGATAAAAGTAAAACAGACAGACACACAGACAGACAGACAGACAGCTAGAGAGAGAGTGAGTGAGGCGGAGAGAGAACGAGAGAGAGTGGCGCACGCACAAAGCACAACAAAGAACAACTGCGACGCCGGCAGCGTAGTCGACGCACGCACGTCGCACGCATTCGCTTTATGCCGCCGCCCGCCGACCGCCGCTCCCGCTCGAATAGCCGTCAAGCCAGGAGTAGAAAAAGAAGCAGCAACAGCAGCCACCCACACAAGCAACCACCATAAAAGTGAAACACACAATGAAATTTACGCAATAGTCGCTGAGACCGGGAACTAAAGAGACTGTGTAATAAAATCAAGAAGAGGGTGACAAGCAGACAACAATAACAGTAACAACAACTCACACGCACGCACACACTCACAGTCAGCTGCCATAGAATAGCGAAAATAGAAGAAATGTTCGTAAATCCGATTACAATTTAAGTTTCTAAATTTTGCATTAACTTTAAGAAAGTCTTTATAGAGCAAAAAGTAGACAGCGAGAAGGGGGAGTAGGCAAAGCAACAAAAAAAAAAAAAAAAAAAAAAAACGTATAAAACGGGATCTACAGATAAGCAACGCCATATGCTTGAGCTTAAAGCAATGAAGAGAGAACGCAAATAAATCAAGAGAAACCTTAGAAGTAGGCAAATCGCGTATGTGTAATGTGGACAAGGAAGCAAATTGGCAAATTACACTTGGTACTAAAAGTTCGTAGACAAAATAGTTGAGCAATAGTTGGACAGCTGATTTATGGATTGATGGATATGGATGGAATTTACAGATATGCGATATTCTCAGGAAATTATGAATAAAAATGAAGATAGATATATGAACAAAATACTGATTATATATGTATTTTAGACTTAAATAAATTGAATTTATTTCATCTAGATATAGATAAATATGTGAAAAATTATTCCGATGTTTTGGACTTGAATGGAATGCAGAGTTTAGTAATAAAATTTTTTTTAATTACTCATTCAGTTCATTCTTCCATCAATTTAGAATTTTTATATAGCTGATCGGTAGTTACAAAATAAATATATTTTTCAGTTTAGCTAATATATTAAAGACAGTAAAGAAAACATTATAAAAAATTTATTATTAATAATTTTAGACAAAAAAATATATGTTTAAATTTTATAAAAAATTTTTCATAACCCTTGCCATTGTCTTTTAAATTAATATTATTAAAAATTTTAACTAAATTTTTTTTAAGTCAAATAAATACTCGCACATATTATAGAATCATATATTAAATATATTTCATAAATTCTTCTTATTATTATTATGATTGAAAATTCCACAGCTAGCAGAAAATGTGTTTCTTCTATTTTCCACATCTAACTTTAAGCTCTTTTCTTTAAAGAGAATATCAGCTTGCTTCCCTCAAATTAAAGTAACTTCGCAGACAAAGCTGTAGCATACTTTTTCGTGCCACTTTCGCGGCGACTCGCAAGGACAAAGTAAGTCAATGCACTTGCTGGCGAACGACAATTATAACGGTAACAAACAAGGGGCACAGCTGTTGCCGCTTGCAAAAAAAAAGGAACTGAGAATTGCGTGGCCAAGCTTTACAGAGATTCAAACTCACACACACACCTACACACATAAGCACGTACAAATGCAGACAAGTCAGATTGACCTACACACATACAGAGCGAACAAACACTGCGAGACTGGCGAGGCGCTGATTTTTGGCATTTCGCCGCAGCCGCCTCACCTCGCCTCGCCACACTGCACAAAGTCCCGAATGATTAATTGTCAAAATATGTTGGGCAAAGCGAAAAGTGAGGCGAAGAGAGCAGAAAAAAGGCGACACCCAAACAACATAATAAAAAGTGTGTGCTTGTGTGCGAGTGTGTGTGCAAATGAATTTCTTTCTCTTTTATATTGTTTTTGTAATTTTTTGCTGTTGCCCTTTGCACACACACACACACCCACCCACACACACGCATACACATGTATTTGTATTAAGTTGTCATTACGTGACTACAGACACAAGATTTATTATCATTTGCGTGCGTGTGTGCGTGTATGAGTGCATGAGTGTATGAGTGTATGCCTCCCTCTCACTCTAGCCCATTCTCTGTGTCACTTTGCTATTGGAAATATACACACACTGCTGTGCTTTATAGCGGATACTCACAGTAACTTGTTGAGCAAACTCAACCTTCGGCTGGCCGACCAATTCAATAATATGAACCATATGGAACGATTTGCACTGGAACGTTGCGAGAAAAATTTTCAATTTTTATTATCGTTGTTAATTGATTTCTTTTTGCTTTCTTTTTGGCTCAGTTCTGTGTTTATTCTTTTTCTTCTTGCTGCTTATTAAATATATGTGTTTGTATATATTTAAATATATATTTTTTTGTTGTATTTATTTTTGTTTGCTAATTTTTCAACACTTTTTGATTTTGTTTCTTTTTTGTTGTTGTTTGCACTTGAGTTGTTTTTTTATGCGTTTTCTTTTTTTCTCTTTCTCTTATTTAATGTACATATTATAAGGTTTTTTTTTGTTGTCGTTGTTGTTGTTGTGCGTGTGTATGTAAATTTATCTTATCTGTGTTTTCCAGTATTTAAACACACACGCTTATGTTGTTTCTGTTGTTGTTTTTTGGTTTTTTTTCTAAAAATGAATATGATTATTATTATTGTTAAACGTTTATTTCGTTCTTCTTCTTTACTGTCTCTAATGCTTAATCGAGTACAGTTAATCAGCGATTTCTTTAATGTGCTTTGATTTATTTTCGCTTTGATGATAGGAGAATGAAATGAATCCAAATTTTATTGCTAGGAAACTTTGGATATATGGGAAATCTAATGGATTTCTAAGAGATGAGCGTATTTAGACCTACGTGAATCTAAATTTGATTTTCATGAATTCAGGTACCTGTAGAAATTTGCAACTAACATCATTAAACATGATGTATCTTATTAGTATTATGTATCATATATGTAAATATATAATATATAAATATCTTTCTCGAATAACTAGTTTTGAGTGGGAAATGACTTTCAACTACGCAAATATTATTTAAAATCATTTTTATTTACAATATACGTAAATAGTTCAAAAATTTGTTTATTTCTTCGGATTATATATTTTTCTTCAGTTTTTTGCATTTATTCAGAAGGTTCTTTTTGGGTTCTATTACACAATTCTTTAAATATATTGAAGAAATAATTTTTTATATAAGAAAAAGCTTAAAAGAACTTTTAGCAAATGTAGAAACTCTTTAAAAATATTTTCTTTTAGAAAAGTTTGTTCCCAAATACCAAGCACAAAATTGGGCAAAAACTATTCAAGTAAATAATTCAAAGCACTTTTTCTATACTCAATTTTGCATAATAATTTGAAAACTAATTCAATTCTAAGGATTATATGAAACATTTTTAATTTTACTTTCAAAAACCTGAGAAATCGAACAAATTCTAAAAATACTTGTCTTCCTCTTTAAAGCCAAGACAAGCTTGGCTAAAAAAATTAATTTAGAATATTTTTAAAAATATTAAAAACTTTAATTATTCTTTAACTATTTCCTAGTTTCAGATCTCAAGAACTTTTCCTTATTTTTACAGCTTAAAGAAAATATCTCTTAAAGCTAATTTTTCCTCTTTAAAATAAAGCCAAAATTCGAATTCACACTTTGCACAAATTTTCCAAGAAATATTTTCACGCACTCACAATTTATAAACAATATTTACAATTAGCCCATGGAATAGAAGAGATATATTATCCGAAATTGGTAACAAGAAGAAAATTTCAAATATTCAGAGAGAGAGAGAGGAAGAGAGCAGCTCAGGCAAAATCAAAATATTCTTGCCCAAAAAATTGAGGAAAAGCGAAAAATTGCATATATGAAATCTATATAAATATGATTATATATTCATATACTAGTAAATAATTTATATTTATAAAAATACAAATATATAGTCAGAAATTGAGAGCAGTATTTCAAATGTAAATGAAATTTAGGAATGTTTTAAGATTCTTCAACTCAAATTCAAATTCAAATGCAAATTTAAAATTTCGAATTTTCATATTCAATTTCTACATTCATTTTAAATTTTCAAGTTTCAATTAGAAAAAGAAAATCTTGTTTAACACTTTTCCACATACTTTTCCATTTTTATGTGAAACAATTTTCCAATGTTTGTTTACATAGGAAAATTGAGAAAAAAAAACAGGCAATTCAAATTCAAAAAAAGAAGAATAGTAAAAAATAGAACGGAGAGAAAATTCAAGTGATTTTTTCTCTCTTTTGTTTACAATTTGTTTTCCAATTATTTTTTGTTTGTTTATCAAATTTTTTGGTTTATTTTGGGCTCGAATGAAAGAAAAATGTTCAAACACGATTCGAAAGGTAGTTTAAGGTAGTTGAAAATACTCTGGGAAATCTGTGTAAAGGTAAATTTGGAGCAACGGAATATCTATTTTCGAAAAGTTTCGTTTCTTACTTAATTTTTTAGTTTCTCTTTTTGGTTTTGTTTAACAATAATAAAGTTTAGTTATATTTGGTTTGTGATTTGATAAACTCTTCTTTGTTTTTGTATTTTGTTGGCTTGTAAAGTTGTTTTATTTTGGTTGACTGGCGAATTTGATTTGATTATTAAATTGGTTTGATATATAATTTTTGCTTTATTTGTATTTTTATTTTTGGAAATATTTAAGCGAATTTAATTTATATATATAATATGTGTGTGTATATTTATATTTTTGTGTGTGGGTTTTTTTTTTTTTAATATTATTTAATTATTTAGATTAGTATTATTTCTTAGTGTTGAATATTTTTGTATTTATTTTGAACAAATGTCACACGACAGACAGTCGACGAGAATCATACGAAATATTCCGACTTAACTACACAAAACTCAATTTCATACTGAATACTGAAAAAGGACGGCGCTTGCCAAATGCGAGAAGTGTGGATAAAAGACGAGCCAACGGCTAACAACGGCTCGCACGAGCCGAACGGCCGAACGAACGTCTGACGCGAACGAACTTACAACAAATACGAACGAACGTACGTACGAAACTCACGACCAATTCGAACCAGCGAACGCAACAGCCGGCAACGAACGAGTAACGGTAAACAAAATACACGTTGCCCTTGTGTGTGGGTGGCAGTTCGGCTCGTAAGGCGAACGGTGCGAACCGAACGCAACGCGTTGGCCATTGGCGAGAGCATCGAACATGTGTGTGCGCTTGTGTCTGGTTCGAAGTCGAACCAAAACAAGCAAAAAGCCAAGCGCCAAACGAAGGGCACACGAAGTCACGTATGCTCTACGAATCAAATAAGTTTCTGATAAGAGATAAATCCTATGCTATAAAGGTAATTCCGAGCAAAATAGTGCATAGGTTTTATTTGAATTAATTAAAATAATTATGTCAGCTATACGAAAATACAATTTCCAGATTAAACATATCTCTTAATCATTATTTTTAAATATATAACAATTAACTAACTGAAATCCTATTAGAATCTCGCCAATACTCCTCCACATTTTAACGTCCAATTAGATATTAATGTCATACCAATCGTACAATCTATAGAGCATCAACAAAAACACAACCGAAGAGCAGCGAAACGGTAAAATGACGAGACGAATAGCGGCACATTGCACATGGGCTGGCCAAACGAAAAACGGCGGGCGGCTGGAAAATACAACACAAGAGGCCTAAGGGAAAATCTACTACAACACGATGACGAGTGCACGACGAGTGGCGGCCAGTCCGCCTGTAGTCGTAGCCGAAGCACGCGCATCTTACGCTCTGCCGCGCGCTCTCTCCGCTCTCTAAAAATGCCCGACGTTGGCTCCGCCAGCCACGGACACGGGTGCGAGCGAGCCGGCTATAGTTTAGTTTCGCCTTAGCTATGTAAGGTGTTTTGTATAGTTGAGCGTAGTGTATCTGAGTGGGAGAGCGCGAGAGCGAACGCGTGGCTGCCATGTGCCGGGCTTACTGGCTGGCTGGCTGGATGGCTGCCTGCCAGGCCACCGAGAGAGACAGAGCGCGCAAGAGAACGAGAGAGTGAGGCAACAGCGGGTGGGGGTGTTATTATGAAGCCAGCAAATATTGCGCGAGCGAGCGGGCTGCAAGAAAATAGCAAACATGTGCGCTATGCCTGATTTTGCGCTTGCCTTTGTTTTGCTTTTGCATTTGCCGTTGTGTTGTGACTGGAAAATGCCTTCGAATTTGCATCTCGACCAGCAGACAAAATGTTTATTAAGCACATGACTCAAATTGTGCGATTAACGTACGCACGAATAACAAAAAGTAGAGTAAAGCAGCAATACAGACAAACATGCTGTTATTTTTGCTTTATTTTTACACTCACACACACACATAGAGACGTACACGCGGCTGGAAGGTTGCGCCAATAAGAGCGCCTAAGAGAGCGTTAAGAGAGCGCTCGAAGAGTAACTGAAGGGGCAAGCCACAATATTGTAACACAGCTTATCAACACGACGATAATAATGATGATGATGATGATGATGACGAAGACAGGAAGAAATTAATATGCGAAACGCAACAATTTTGCCAACTACAAAAACAACAACAACTGCAGGCGGCGGCACACAAAAAGTGCGTCGCTTACAGCCGGTAAAAAAAAATAGAATGTGAAGAGTGCAAAAGCAAAAAATAAGTGTAACAAAATAAGAAGAACAGCAACAGCCGTGTGAAATGCTATTGAACAATTGGGGCGCGGTTAGAGTAGCGTTGCTTTTCCTTTTTGATTTCTCACTTTGCGCGTAAGTGGAAGAGAGATGGAGATATTGAGAGTGATTTCTGTTAATTGTATTTGCAATTCACTTGCCTCACTGTTCGTGAATGAACAGTTATTTCCTTGACCGCCTGCTGGCTAAGCCCCCGCATAATATGCTCCATCCATCAGTTTAGCCATTCATTGGAGGCTTCACGTTAACTGTAACCTAACAACCTGCCACATCAGCAATCAATGTCTGCTCAGCTGCCCAGACGCCCCAGTCGCCCGCTATGATTACCGTTGCCCGTTGCGTAGATGCGTGCGTGCGTGTGTGCGCTAGTGTGTGTGTGTGTGTGTGTGTGTGTGCGAGTGTATTTGTGTGTCACTAGGATACGCAAAAAGCATCACGCGCCACAATCGCATCAGCGGCGGCAGCGACGTCAGCAGCAGCAACTAGACCCACAATTCCAGTTCACGTTTTTGAGACTCTTCGCTATCGCCTCATCCCAATCTGTGTCTCCTTCTCCTGCCATTCGCATCAGCGCGCGTTGCCTTGGAGTTTTTCAATTTGATATGCTCGACCGATTTTCGCTCATTTAAAGCGCGCGCCATTCCACAAAACGCGTTGCCAACTGTGTTTTTGTTATTGTTTATATTGTGTGTGTGTGTGCTCTATGTGTGTGTGTGTTTTTGCCCGCTGCGCTTGTCGTCGCCAATTTATCGCATTTTTACTTTGATTTTGCGTTAATTTTTCGGACAGCTCGAGTGGGAGCAGTTTTGTCCCCTGACCTCCCATAGCAGATCCACTCCATCTCCTACTCCCACTCTCCTTCTCCCTCTTATTTTGCTTGCTGTCCTAGCTTGTTGTGTGCTTAATGCTAAATGCCGTGTTGTTTTTTTTTTCTTTCTTGTTCTTCTTCTGTTCTTTTTTGTCTTTGTTGCTTTTACTGTTCTCTATTGTTGTGCGTGGAAATATGGCAGGGCAGTCAAGTGTTAAGACGAATCAGCTCTGTCAAGATGAAACGAATGATAGGGTATCAGTTGAAGAGATACATATTGCTCAAGACGGAACGAAGCTGTCAGATAGATAGAATATAGACAGACAGAAGATAGAAAGATAGAGGATTGCTCATTAGAAATCAATGCAAAGGAAGCGCCTCTGAATGGGTTCTAAAACGGTTCTGAATCGGTCAGAAGACAAAATTTGGCTTGAGATGGACAGAAGCTAATGGATTTCCAATGAGAGAACTTCCAATTAGAAGTAGCCTAATGTAAAAAGGTTATGAATCAGTAACTGTTGAAGGTTGGACCGGTTACGAATCGGTTATGACAGCGGTACAATAAAGATGATTGAGTTTTGATGAACATATATTATGAAACGAGTATGTATGGTTTGTGAATCGGTTATACATATCTCATTTAAGGCTCTAATGTTAGTAATACAGCTTCAGCTATCGTTTTAAGTAACGGAATCAATCAGTTACGTTTGCATTTTTAGTTTCTGCTACATTCTGACATAACATACTCCAAGTTCTTCACTCACACAATATACCCTCACATTTAACCCAATTTGCAGCGCAAACCCGAAACGGTTAAGCATCGTTTTCCTTTCATTATGCGAATATATGACTCAATAAACTGCGCGCGAAGCCTTTAAAACTCCTCAAGTCTATAAGAAAATATATCATTTGCTTACGCATTATCTAAAGACCAATTTCATTTTTACAATGCACACACACACACACTCAGAGTGAGAGAGAGGGAGGTACACCTACACAGCCACATGCATGGCTATATATGTGCTATATATTTGCTTATATAATCGTATCTACAAGTCGTTAGACCGGGACGGGGCACTCAAAGCAGAAGCTTTTATGCATTGCCAGGCACAAAAAAAAAAAAAAAAAAAAATTACTGACTGCGAGTGCGAGTAATAGGCGATGCCTTAATTCACAATAGCCCAACCCCCACACAGCCAGCCAGCGCAGCCCCCAGCCTCAGCGCCAGCCCAGGCATCCCTGAGATATGTTCGATATTTATGCGAGAATCAGGCGATAAATCTAAATTATATGGAAAGTGCTAAAGCCAGAAGCTACTGACACCGAAATGAACTGTAAACGCGTTAGGGTCAGGCCATTGTTATGATGATTATGCCTGCAGGCCGATAGGCCGATAGGCCGATAGCCCAAATATGGCCTACTTAAGTGGACAGCTAATTAAAATCCAAATGAACTCACTTTTATAACTGTATATATATAACTGTATACATATATAAATATATATTGAGTGGGGCACAAATGAAACTGTTGATGCTCTTTGATTATCGTATAATTAGCCAACAAAAAAAAAGTAGAAGTAGGAGTAGAAGAAGAAGAAAGTTTTGTTACATTTGTCATCATCCATCAAAGATGAAGAGCGCGAGAGAGAGAGAGAGAGGGAAAGAGGCAGAGGGTGAGGGAGAGGGAGAGGGTGAGGGTGAGGGCAACTAACGTGCGACAAATCATAGCATACTTTTTGACGTTGTCATAAGTTTAACCCACACACAGATACAAAATATCATTTGATGGGTTTCACACACACACACACACACATACATATATATATATATATATATATATATTTGTATGTATAATTTCTACAACTCTAACGCTTGGCTGTCATACATGTCGCAAATTTCATTAGAATTGCTGTGTCGTCAAGTTTTCGTACCGCTGTCAGCCCGAAGGGCCCATCATCATCAGCAGCAGCAGCAGCAGCGACAGCGACGGCGGCTGCGACGACGGCAGCGGCAGAGGCAGCATCAACTCTCTTGTGGTCGAAAATTAATGAAAATTTCATAAACTGACGGCCTAACAGACCAGGAACTAGAGTTGAAATGCCTATGCTACATATATACATACGCATACA